ATATATATATATATATATATAAAATATGCTATATATATATATATATAAAATGTGCTATATATTTGCTCCAGTTGCACACTTCTCTTGTATATATATAGCAAATATCAACATATATAACAAAGGTATTGAAATTTTTTCAAATTACTTCACTATCTACTTACCTGTAAACGGCCGAGGACATTTATTAAAACTCCACCATCAAACATAGGCTGTGAGTCCACTGCAGTTATCACACGTGTAATTTTTTGAAACGTAAGGCTCTGTGAAATCAAAAATAGGCTCATGAAAAATTTAAGATATACGCCTTCTGTTTAATCAAGTTACAGAGAGTTTTTCCATAATTTTAGGAGCTCCTTGTATTTGAAGGCCTTCAAAAGTCATAAAAGAATCTGTGGTCTGTAAGTAAAATGAGCGTATACATTTTCAAAATGCCTAAAAGATATACAGGATTTAAATTAATTTGAACCAACAGAGACAATAATACTCGCATCACTTAGCTCCGGCTTGCAATGTAGATTTATCGTCCTTTTACTTAGATTTACTTCGATTTAAGTAAAGCTGCGAATATTGACAAGCTTTTCCTAACTGCTAAGCAACGCATATCAACAAAAAAAAACGTGTGTATTTTTTGTATATAAAGTTTTAGTACATATAGTTTTTAAATTTTCTCCTTACGAGGGTGTGGCCTTGGAAAGTAAGGCGATTTTAAGAATTTTTTAAAATATTCAAATTTGCACATTTTTGTTACGACCTTTACAATTTATTATATTTCTTCGAAAAGCTTGCATCATTTATAAACTGACTAAATATACTCACGCTGTAAAAGTTAATCACATTCGCTCGCTGAACAGGATTGTCGAACAAGGCGTAATACTGCTGAACGAACCCTTTACCGATGTCTTCGTATTGAGGATTCAAGGCCATGTCTAATATTTTAAAATTTTTGAAGAGAAAATTAATGAAAAAGATAACCCTTAAAATGCTTTTCTGCAAAATAAAATTCCAATATGTGAATAGACCACTACAACCACGGGTATTCCGAAATTAGTGATACAAATTTTAAGGCAAATTAGTGATGGAAGTTTAGGTAGAAATATATGTCAATTCTTCTTCTTATTTGTCATTCAATAAAAACTAGTTAATTCACTCTGTTTACCTACAACTTTTTTAAAATTCATAGGAGACTGACGCAAAGATGTCAATTTCGTTTCTGGGTTAGAAACTTCCAAGTGGTAGTACAATGTGCAACCGCGCTACCATATTGTTTTACGTGAAAATGTAAATGTAAAACATATGGTTATAGAAAGAAAAATAAGGAACTGAACGTAGACAACAAATTTATAAAAAATAATAGTAAGACGGTTAACATAAAAGGAAGGTAAAGCTTATTTAATAATTAGTGATAGAGAATCTCTATTGGACATATGTTGGTATATATATTAGTAATATTTTGTGTATTAATTGATCCATAATTTGGAAACTACCATTTTCCATTCTCTCATTACAAAATAATATATGGTATAAAATTGCAATTAAGATAAATAACTTTAAAATTTAAAGGGGCGATCATCGTTCCTTCTTGTGTTTTTTTCTGTTTTAAGAAAATTATTGCTAATTCTTAGAGGGTGGACAAAATGATTCATTATTCCTATTCTGACATAGAAATACAAAGACAAATCTTTTTAAATTTAGAAGTTATTTATGTGATTCGTGCTTAGTTTGTATTAATTTGAGTTTTCTTTCTGTTGTAACATAAATGCTTTGCGTCGTTTGTTTTCATATATTCGTTGTTTACATTTATATTGAATCTTTACTTTTGGTCTTAAAATTGTACATTTTTGTTCACATTTGTTATAAAATAATATGGTAACGCGGCTTCTCACTGTCTTCCATTAAGGATATTTTAACTCGAAAATGAGCATAAAGTACTATTTTATGAGGAAAACACATTGAAGTTTCCCTTACATTCCCAGGTCTGAGGTAGACGTTTAATTTCCAAAGTTTATAGATGGATAAGATATATATATAATACGTACATACGTATACCATACTACTTATTAATCCTGGTTTACGCAATTTCAACTGTTTTTTTATTTTTTCGATTATTTTACTCTAAAACACCATCCTGTCCAACAATCTCAAATTTATGTACAATAAGCCAAACGGTCGTGCTCTCCATAATCTTATCAAAAATTAGTTTCCTAATATATAATTTGTTTATTTTCATAATAGTCTGCTGCGTACATTTCATATTGGCACGAGTGTATTTCAAAAATGTTGTCAAAATATCTGTCGGAAAAATGAGCAAGATTTTTGATGAAACAAATGTTTTAAAATGAAAGTTGCTCGTGTGTAGCAAAGCAGCTCAAAGGGCTCTTAACGCTATCTGACTAGCTCGCCGAAAATTGGGGGGTTCCTGAAAGTGATTTTGCCCTATAGAATCTTTATAAATTTTTGATGTAAGTGGATGTGTAGTGAATGTGAGTGTGTAAGGTGATCACCTACTTCGCCAGCCAGAATCAAAACAATATAATTAGATTACAAACATTTTATTAAAGTGTTGTTGTTACAAATGTCTTAATCTAAAAGTGTCAAATGTGTATTCTGATTCAAAAATTATGATTATAATAAAAATAAGAATTATACTCTATGTTAACAAAAAAAAATAACAACTCACCGAATGTACATTCGAGATCTTGGAAACAATTAACAACTTGATAAATCTAATTTTGAAACTACTGCCACTCGTATCTACACATGTGCAACGTAGTCCAATATTTCTGTAATGTTTTCGGCAATTTACGTCATTAATTTTTCTCCCAAAATTTACCACCGATTTGATTTCCGCATTGACCGGCTTGCATGTACACAATTTCACACATTGTGTGTTTTATTGGTTCTTTTGAAACAAACGATCTTCAATTGGTTAAAACTAACTGCTTCTAGTTATTTTTAGCTCTTCTTTAAGTGCCGTAAGAAATGATTATTTTTTCTTCATTTATTTATTTATTTATTTTTTTAACTTAAAAAAAGTCTTTATTTTACGGATGACGTACTTCAACTGAATATTTTTTTTTTGTAATGGGAATGTCCTTTCTTCAAGGGTACAAATGACTCAGGAGTCCGGTCACAACACTAATATAATTAGCGAACTGAATTATTTAATGCACTCGCGTTGGATTGTCAATTTTCTTCTTTTTTAGATTACAATGCGGAAATCAAATCGATGGTAAATTTTGGGAGAAAAATTAATGACGTAAATTGCCGAAAACATTACAGAAATATTGGACTACGTTGCACATGTGTAGATACGAGTGGCAGTAGTTTCAAAATTAGATTTATCAAGTTGTTAATTGTTTCCAAGATCTCGAATGTACATTCGGTGAGTTGTTATTTTTTTTTTAACATAAAGTATAATTCTTATTTTTATTATAATCATAATTTTTGAATCAGAATACACATTTGACAATAATTCTTATTTTTATTATAATCATAATTTTTGAATCAGAATACACATATGACACTTTTAGATTAAGACATTTGTAACAAAAACACTTTAATAAAATGTTTGTAATCTAATTATATTGTTTTGATTCTGGCTGGAGAAGTAGGTGATCACCTTACACACTCACATTCATTACACATCCACTTACATCTAAAAATTTATAAAGATTCTATAGGACAAAATCACTTTCAGGAACCCCCCAATTTTCGGCCAGCTAGTCAGATAGCGTTAAGAGCCCTTTGAGCTGCTTTGCATGCTACATAGAATTTTTATTGGCGCCCAACGTAAAATAAACAATAATAATATCTCAAACTATCAGGCCCCACGTTGGGCGCCAATAAAAATTCTACGTGTTTTCTTGCCAACCGATAGTTGACAAGAAATTAAAATTATTGGAAGCGCAGGAGTATCTGCAAACGCCTCATTGTTAGAGATAAAAGCAGGGTGAAAACATCTGAACGTTTTGTAATAACAAAAGCATCCATGATAAATCTTGCAGAGGATATTTTTGGTGTATATAGATATGCAATTTTTATTTTGCCCAGAAAATTTGACTAGAATAGGTTAGAAAATTTTTTCGGAAAATTTGCAATCTTCGTTAGGTGGTCACGTACGTCCGTCAACGTGTGAAATAGAATATTTGACGGCAAGATTACTGTCCATGAAGATTCTTCGTCTACAATTCAGCAGCCTAAGTTTGAACTGTGAAGAGGGCGGTGATATGTTTTGAGATTTTGCTACGCTTTGTCCAGAAGAAATAACGGAGAGGCCTCTTCTGGGCATATACCCATTGGAAACAGATAAAAAATGTAAATAAAGCTAAGTCATCGTCGTTGGTAACCCAATTTTTCGTTGACTTGACAGAAAATGTAGCGTATGGGGCGTCAACCAATCCATCATCGTTCGGTTGCATCCGAGATTATTGATAATCGAAGCGTTATTATTACTGAAAATTCTGATGCTGCCTCTTCAATGCCTGATCTTGCAAATGCGTCTAAAAATATGCTACCTATAGCGGTTTCTGCTCATCTGACTCTTGTTGCATCTGTGAATAGAATGGGTGAGAAGACTGATGACGTTTCGGCAAAGGTTAATGATGCCCTGGCTGCTAAAGCGGCATTGTCAACTAATTCAGAACGAGTGGTGTCTCTCTTAGCTCTGAGAGGACAAACTGCTGTGCAACAAACTGAGCACGGCTAGTGGTGACGATGAGTTGCTAGTTGTTCCGCGTCGTAAGTTGGTATTCGTATCCTGAATTTTATCGGAAACCTTTGGTATAACAATTGCACGATTTATTGTTTCCAAGTTTTCGAATACCGATTTGAGAAAATGTAGTGTTTATAAGCTCAATACTTTATCTTGTCGTACTACAGCTTCGTTATGGCCAGTAGGTATTCTTTTAAAAAGATTTGTTTCCCGAAGGAAACAAGCAGTGCCCGCTTGTTTGCGGAAGACCTGCTCGTGCATCTGCTGTGCCTATAGCATCAGAGTCCCTTTTGTCAACTCCTTTGTCCACCCATTCATTCAAAAAATTAAGTTGCCCGAGTTGATTTGTCATTACTCTAACAAAATGTTAGAGAGGTTAACATTAAGGTAAGTTTTTAAACTCTCTTAGTTGTGTGCATCATGTTTTGTTTTCCACTGAAACGTGGTTGAAGACTGGGTTCGATGATACCGAAAATTTGAATTCTGACTTTCAGGTCTATAGGAAAAATAGGTTGGCCAGAACAGAGGGTGGTGTTCTTATTGCTAGCACAACTGCCTATATAGTCGAAGTTTATAATGTGAATAAACTTGAGTTTATAGCTATAAATGTTATGTCTCAAGCATATTGTCTGGTTATTAGCTGCTGCTATATTCCGCCTTCAACGGATATTTCTGGTTATCTTGAGCATTTTCTATTAATCACCGATATCGATAAATCGAAAGCTAATAATAAGGTGGCGAGTTTGAGTGACTCCGATTTGCCTTTCGTCTTATGGGAAATTGAAGGGGCTTTAGGCTATTTTACGCCAATTTGATATCTAAGTCTATTTACTGAGTTCTTCGAGGTAATCTTGCATTTATGTCTATATCAACTAAATAATATCTGCGATGACAAAAATCTATGTGACTCGCGGGTTATACTATAGCAAATTTTAGGGAAACAAATTATTTTATGCTTAGGGATTTAAAGTCGTCTGTGGTATAGGATCTGGATTACAATGATATTGCTGGCTCACTGTCAGTGATTTACAATACGTTTTCAAAAGTTATCTCTGTAGCTGTTCTTAGTAAGTCTCATACTATTACGCAACCCATTTTGGTTTAACGCTCAATTAATTAAGTTTCCCAATAAAAAACGTAGCCCTTTTATTAAATTTAAGCGAAACGATGGTATCATTGATTCCACCCGCTAGTCGAATGCTCGTTCATGATTATAATTCCCTGAGGAATAGATGCTTGCTTTTTATGAGGGGGAAATAGTTGGCTGACCCCAAGAAATTTTTTAAATTTATTGATTTGAAGCGAAAAAGCGGAAGGCTTCCCCTCCATGCAATATGAACACATTGAATCGTCTAATTTTAATGAGATAACTGACAATTTTACGACTTATTTTGAGAAACGTACAATCATCATTGCTTTCTATATAAGTCCTCAAGAGTGCTGTTCTAAGGATGCGCCCTTAATATCGTTATTTCTATTTGTCCGGTAATATACGTATTCATATATTGTAATTTAAATGGCTATGTATTTTGATTATACCTATTCTATTTAATTTCTGCGTTCAATAAGGTTTATTCGTTGCTCCACTCAAGTTACCACAGTTTTTGTGGAATTTAGTCTTAAGTGATTTTATTGGCTGTTAATTTACATATGAGGCTTATCAAATTAAATAAATAAATTAAATAAACAAAATAAATAAATAACTAAGACATTTGTTAACATTTAGTTGGCCAACTTCTTCTGGTGTCATATTTAACTGAGAGACTATGAAGTGTTGTGCAGCTATTCATAATCAATGGAAAGTAAACAATACTGATATCAATATTGTCATAAACGTGAAGAAAATTAGAGGGAATTTAAGAAAATGTCCGAATACGTTTTCCTTTATCAGAATTCGCCATCTCTCCCTCTCTTTCCTCCTCTTTCTCGACAACGAAAAAAAAATTACAAACAAAATTTTTCAATGTCGAGCAGTTTTTGTGACAAGTCAACACCGAGTTAAATTCGGTCAACTGGAGTTGAAGAATGGAGGTTTTTAATAACATTCTTTTTCACGTGTGTCAAAAAAATAATAATTGTTTATATTGGAGTTATTTAGCAAATTTAATTTTTTTGTAAGAAAAATAGAATTTTCTGTATATTACCTTTGCTTATTAATGTTTTGAAATTAAAAAAATTACATATTCTGCGCAAATTAAGCCAAGTCATCATCGGTGTTAAGCCAATTTTTCGTTAGCTCGACCACATGAACACTGTAGATCAACTTATGAAGAAAAGTAAAAAGGAACTCAAATTGTTTAAGCTAGACTTAAGGACGAGTCTTTAATATTTTATGTATAGATTGATTAACTTTCTTTCTTGTAATAACGTTGTAACTATTTTGAGTATTACATTTAAAATTAATACCTAAAGTGCCATATCAATGGTGGCAGCAAAGTGTTGCGTGTTAAAATATGTAAAGTTTTCGACTACCTTCAAAGAGAATTCAAATGATTCGATAATAAGAGGAAGAGGACGTTTATCTGGCAATGAAAATCAAGTTAAAATTGAATAAGAAGTATAATACAATCGCTAATGCTATCATTGATAGCATGTTATGAAAGAAATGGAAATTAGCTATAATATTTCATTGAGCAGATATTAGATCACGGACATTTCTTGCGACTTTATCCAATTAAAAACAATTTCAGATAAGTTGACAACATTCGCACTTGTTTGATGTGGTGGACATGTATAGATTTCACCAAAAGTAGGTACTAGCATATATATAAAAAATAATAGTTGTGCATGATCCTGGAAGAGGAAGACAGGATAACTCGGTCTTTAAAAAAGAAATAATCGTAAACAGAAATTTATGTGGAAGTAAATGAAGTATATGTAAATAGTTTAATTTTATTGTCAATTTTGCTATTTGAAGGAGATCCATCACAAATCATGATGAAAGGGTTGAAGAGGATGAAAGAGACAATCTAGATAGTAAAGTCGCTACTGAAGAGGTTGCACAAGGCAACGCTGAAGAAATAGCTCGTGAAAGTTTTTTTCCAGAATTAGAAGGGAAAATCGCAACGAAATCTTGATCAAGATTTTCGAATTTTTAAATTTGATAGCTATGACGATAGCTATTGTGCCAAATTGAGTTCGAACTTAAAACGTAAAGCAACTGATATAATTTACATTCAGGTGGAACTTCAAGGATCTCACGGATATGAAAAGTCCTCATTTAACCAAGTATACATAGCAGAAGGCTGTTCTCATTTATTTGAGGCAATGACTGATTTGATAGCCGTGGTGCATCATTCATTGAAACTTGGCAAAAACTTTATTATTATTTATTTATTTATTATTCTATTAATTCATCATATTAATTCTTGTAAGTTCCGGCATGATCAGTAGCATGCAAGGTCTGAATTTTAGGCAATGTGTTAACAACCATTATATATAATGAAACGCAACTAAGCAAATTAATAGTCGAATTCAGTTGGTCTTAGAAATAAATCTTATACTAATTAGTATTAAAAAATAGTATAAAGTATATAAAGAAAAATAAGGAAAAAAAAATATATGTAATAATTATGAAATAATAATTTGTGTATAAATAAATAAGAAAGAGAAAAAAAATAAACCAAAAAAACATGTACGCGACTAGCATAGAAGCTCGTTAAGAAAGAAAGCATTTTTTTAGATTTAATTTTCTAAAATTTAACGAGCACCAAGTAACCAAGTCATTTAAGTCAATTTGATTGCGATTCCAAGAAGAAGAAAGAAAATAGTTTAACATCGTCAGCTTGCATTAACATTTAGCATTTCACTAAGAACAAAGGGAAGCCAGAGGCCTGGAGTTTGAGGATCAATAAGTTATGGTTAACAAAGTCAAACGGTTTGCTAAAATCAATATACACGACATCCCTGCGAGAACCGCTACAAAAAGCCTTGAAAACATGGGAAGTAAATTCGAAAAGATTCGTGACGGTAGATCTTTCTTTCCGAAAACCACGCTGGAAAATATAAGTTTTAATAGCCAAAGCTAAATGCTGAGTAACAATTCGCTCAAATAATTCATGCAAGAGACTCAACTTGGCGATGCGTCTATATTTCTCAACGTGATCTCTATTTCCATATTTATTGATTGGACTAAGGAAACTACTATTCCAATACAAAGGGAAACACCTGATTTCAAGCACGGATTAAAAATCATAGAAATAACACCACATAGCTCAACAGAGCATGTTTTAAGTATACATGATCGAATCTCATAGGATCCAGGCGTACAACTCTATTTTAAAGACCTTAAACCATCTTAAAATACATTTTCTGAAATGACCAAGTTAAGAATGCAAAGTTAGATATCGAATAGTTGACAGTTGAATTGGAATTAGTAGTTAAAAATTTGAACAATGTCGTCCGAAGTATTCAGCAAAGAAATTCGAGGTTTTAATATCATCAGGGGACACGGAGCCATTGAAAGAAACATGCGAGGATATCTGAAGATTTTTCTTTCTGTGTTAGTAAACTTAAAAAAATATCTAGAACTAAGAAGTAGTGGGGATTTTATTAATTGAAGATACCCGCAATAGTATTGGTGATTGAGGTAATTAAATCTATTCCGTGATACAGAATAGGCAAAATAGTCGCAAGCAGAACCACTTTTCATAAATTTTTTGAAAAGTTTGTTTTTCGTATGTTTGTAAAATTTAATTGTCTTTTTAGACCATGGCGGGTACCTGGTACGAGGGCGAGATTGCTTAATCGGAAGGGATGCAGAAATAATTCTGTTTAATACATTATAGAACAAAGGCAGATGTCTCTGAGGTTAACACTACCGTGAAGGTTTAACGCCACGGTCCTCGACGGCACATGTTGTGTGAAACACCCAAACGCTCCGAGGTTAATAATTCCCGTAACATACGATACCGAAGTCGGCGAACGGCGCGTTTTTTGCTGTGAGGAAGACTACGTTCTCGAGTACCCCACGAGATACGTTATGGTCACATCCCCTTCCTGGTTAGAGCGAGGCACTAATTAAACGAAGACAATAAGGTTTCAATATTTCCAGCAGAATAATCAAAAAAGTTTATTGAAATTAAAAGTTTCAAGAGTCATCCAAAAATGGCATCGCCTAAAAGTATGCTCTGTTTTCTTTCACCAAACTTAGAATAGACAACAATGATTGACCGAAGGCAACAAGGCAATAAGGAACCGACCTATCAATTTATGAAAAAAATTAAATGAAAAAGAAGAGATGAGGCTTTAGCAAGCAAAAGATGCTATCGTTAGTCGAACTTTGACCCAAACTGAACGTTGTTAACTGAACCGCTCTGTGATATAGATGTACATGCTAAATCGCAGCGAATTTCTGCTTTCAACTAAAAATGGGGAATGCGCTAATTACTTATAAGAATCCTGTATAGTGGATCCATCTTGAAACCATACTGGAACACTGCTCAAAAAATGAATAAAACAGATAACTCCCAGATACCTGATTATCCCTAGATTTTCTTTTCCTAATTAGAATCATTTTTATCATCATCGAAATTTGGACACACGGCTACCCTCATAACTATTAGAAACAATAAAAAACAATCTTTAAATATAGAAACGCAAAAACGGATGTTTGATGACACATTAGTACACATATTTACAATTTCTTCCGAGGTATTCGTCTGTGTTTCTTGAATGAAAACGAGGAAAATTTGAATGGAAAACACAGTGATGAATTCAGAACTCTTGCTGCCTAAAGGTTTCTGCCTTTTGGAAACACAAGTAGCTGGTCACACATTTTCGTCCGATGCGAAGGCTTTAGGAATGTTAAAAAATGAAATTCTAGGATGTGTTTTAAAGCCCATGGGCAAACCAGAATGTGGCGAAAGAGAGTTAGCTTTTTACGAATGCGTGACAGATAGTAACGATCCTATATTAAATAAAGTGCGTTCCTTAATACCAAAATTCTATGAGAAGATAAAATTAAGAGTTAACACTATGGACCATACTTTTTTAAAACTTGAGGATCTTACGCATTGCATAAAAAAGCCTTGTATTATGGACATTAAAATTGGAAAACGTACGTGGGATCCTTTAGCTACAGCGGAGAAACGCGACATTGAAGAGAAAAAATATGTTCAATGTAAACAAAAATTGGGTTTATGCTTACCAGGCTTTCAGGTGTATTCAAAAACGCCGCTGACACAAGAAGAAGTGCTTCTACGCTACGGCAAAGACTATGGTAGACAATTAAATGACAGTGAATTCCGTAAAACAATGTCGTTATTCCTACAGTGTCAGAAAGTCGTATGCTGGCCTCTCGTCCAAGAATTATTAACTCAGCTTTATGCAATACGTGATTGGTTCAGCGAACAGAGACTGTTTCATTTTTATGCAAGTTCACTATTAGTGGTATATGACTATGAAACTGTGCAGTTTTTAACTGGAACCACGCAAAACGGTTCAAAAGAAACCTTACCCAATGGAAATGCACAAAATGATGTTTGCGATTTTAAGTATGAGGACCTAGCACCAACAGCTCTCTCATCGGCCCGCCATGTTCAAAATGTCTCACCATACATTAAAGTGCGAATGATTGACTTTGCACATGTGTTCCCAGCTAGCGATGGGTCACCCGACACTAACTACATATTCGGGCTACAAAATTTAATCAAAATTATTGAGGATTTACTTAGTCGTTAATATGTGCTTCAAATAATGACTTAGCATGAATATCTTGCAGTTTTATATCTGATTTTTTGGCAGGAGTTCCGCTTTTTTATAATTGTGTACGTTAAGAAGAAAAGACAAATATATAAAATAATTCTTTTGGATGAAAAACATCGGTTCATTTCGATTAAATTTAAATGCGAAACTACAAAGGAAAATTGGTGGATGTATTTTTGCGTACATTATTTACTTAAAGAGTATAATCGAGCTCATAGCGTTCATATTGATTTTTCGGATCATTTGTTATTCTTGGGTAACCGGCAATTAGGGCGTCTTGCCCGCCAATATAAAGGGAATTATAGATTTTCCAATAGACATCGCGAACTTTTCGAGCAGGATGAAACAAGCCTTGTAAAGTATACTGTAAAATTTTAATAGGACCAAGAGAAACCCGCAATCCCTCCACGGCATCCATGAAGGCCTGAACTAAATGCGGCGATGTTTCAAATATGTTAGGCCACACGTAGTTAAGTAGATGTATAAGAGCATCTTCACAGCCGAAACCGTAGACCCCTAATGCCATATGCTTAATAGCAGCACATGCAGTTTGACGATGTACCAAATCCCGATCCATTAAGGCGTCTTCTAATAGAGGACATACAGCATATATGTAATCCTTGCCCATCTCGCCAATATACTCGAAAAGAAAAGATAAAGACTTCAGTACGCCATTTTGCACATTTAATTCTGGCACTCGATATTCGTTCATTAAAGCCGGAAGTACCGTAAAGGGACGACATGTTTCAGCAACGATTGCAATAGCAACCGTAGTACATACCCGGTTTTGACGCTCTTGCACTTTTAAGTTATTTAAAAGTGTGGCTAGAACGTCATGTGGACCAATAGCTTTAGCTATATAACCGAAAGTATTGACAGTAGCACGACGAATTGCTTTTTTATGAGCTTTGAGTAGCTCTAATAATTCAAAACAAATGCGCATCCATTCCCGTGCAGACACATACTCCGGGCCTCTGTCGGCTATGCGACCGACCAGATCTATGCAATTTTCCTGAACTTTTTCGTGACGATTTTTTAAAATTGGTGTTAAACGAGGCAATAAATCCTTAATAGGTGGCGTCATTTTCGTCATACCAATAACATTCACAATGGCTTTCAAAGCACCAAGAATACTACCCAATACTTCGGGATACTCTTCACCCAGATATTCGTACAATACAACTCCTAAATGCCCCATTAGCTTCTCCTCTTGACAGGTTTTCATGACAATAGCAATCCGAGAGATTAGATCAGCTGCTTGCTGGCGCACTTTGGCCGACTTATTATTCAAACGCCATAAAATTGTACCACATATTTGAGGCAGATAAGGTTTCACTCGTTTACCTAACTGATTCACTATGGTTCCAAATCCATTTAGCATAACAACATCTTCGGTAGTCTGCTCTTGGAAGGCGTATAAAATACCATCTATCAATTGTTCTTCGAGTCGAGAGTCAATATCAGCTGCCCCTAAATTAGCCATAATTTTCTCAATAGTTTCCATTACCATTTTTCGATACTGTTCATTTTCGTCTTTTAAATCATCTACAACGCGGTTTATGATTTCTGATGCGCCCACTTTGTTAGCAATTTCTACAGTCGTATCAACTAACTGTCTGTAATTGCGTCTATCCAGAGCCATGCGATGATTCCAGAAGAATTTAAAAAAATGTGGCAGTATTTCCTCTTTAATGTATTGGGCTTCAACACCATCCGTTGCACAACACTGCTTAACTACTTTCAACACGATTTTCTTCATTTCTTCATCAGGTGATTGAAACTCTCGAATCAATATCAGCATCACTTCACGAGTATAGTAATTAGCATATTCAGCGTCCATCAGTGGAATCAAGTACCCAATAGCTTTAAGAAAAGCAGCCAAGCCTTTACCTCGATGCGTGCGAATACCTTTCCACAAGGGTTTTAGTACAGAATCGAAAGATTCAATGCCATAAGGAGTAGCCGCTTCCGCTAAAGCGGCTATAGCTAGAGCTGTGATAGTGCGTACCTTCTGCTGTTCATCTACTAGACCATGTTCAATAATTTCTACTAAGGCCTTCAAGTGCGGTAGAATTGCACAGCCCATTAGAATAGCAATTTGCTGCACGATTTTAATGCCAGTGTGGCGAGCTTGCCAAGATTTTTTCGACTTACAGACTGCTTTAAGAAATGGCAGTAACGATGGTATACCGAGGGCAGAAGCGACGACGGCAAATGCTCGAGCAGTGGTGTTACGCACATACTCATCGATATTGTCTATATCAGGGCGCATTGTTGAAATCATAGTAGCCAAGCCAGCGGCCTTAGCCAAATTCGAAATAATTTCGCGACCTTCGACTCTAGCGTAATAGTCTTCGTCAATTAACAATGGTTCAATTACAACAAGTATTTTGTGCACGTAGGGTCGCACTAAATCATCCAATTTATACAGTACGCGATCAATGACTTTTACCAACAAATGACGTTCTTGATCTTCTAATGTTGGCGACATAAGCAATGGTAAAATTTGATTAAATAATGGGCCTGCTCCAAATTCTCGAGCTTTGTCTGTAATTTGTCTCAGAGCCGATTTGCGCATGGGTGGTGAACCGTTTTTTATAGTTAATAATAACTTCATTATTTTGCGTTCCTTCATCTCTTCTGGTGATAAGGTGTCTTCGTCTACATCTACCAAAAGTTTATCAAAGTATTGAGCATCCTCTGGCTTCATAAAAGGCAAATTTTGGCCTTTTGGCTGATTATCCATAAATTTCGCATTTTTATCCTCGACTTGAATAAAGAACCCAGCGGGAGTTCCAGCTCCAATGGGTGTAGGGGTAGCCATTAGTTTTCGGCCTGGTGTCCTCAGAGGAACATATCCCGCTGGGGGTGGTAGAATTTTGTATCCTGGAGGAAACATTTGATCAAGCTCTTCGTCTGTAAAAGGTCTATTGCGTTCGTCAATCTCTTTTTCCCAACGATAAGCTTGCAATTGCTCCGGTGTCATCGCGGCTAGAGCACCGGGAGTGGGCGTGGCCATAGCCATAGCCTTCACACCTATAGGAGTTGTACCTCTAGGCGTGAGGAGAGGAGTTGCATGTCCTGGCGTAACATGTGGTGTTATGCTTGGCGTCATATTCGGAGTGACAGCTGAGGGAGTCATTGATGGTGTAGTGTTTGATGGGGTTTCATCCCAACGCGATCGCCTTTTTGAAGCACCGGGTGTAGACTCAATCACAATGTTATCGGTAGTACTACGGTCCGGTTTTGGAGTCTCTGCCCAACCACTGTGACCAGGAGTTTCTCGTTCCGTTTTAGGAGTTTCATCCCATCTATTACGTCTTACAGACTTTTCATGGCCAGGGGTTTCGTGACCAGGAGTCATTGCATGCGCTGGCGTTGCATCCCATATGCGCGTGCTTAAACCTGGCGTTGCACCCGGTGTTTCGCTCCCTGTTTTATGCGCAGGCGTTTCATCCCATCGATGATCGGCTGGGGTTTTCTAAAAGTAGAAGTTTATAATTGACTAGACATGTTTAATTCATACATCTTTGCAGTTTACATACATCTTCCCAAATAGGTGTCGCTAAACTACTAGGAGTAGAAACCACCTTAGCTGGGACAAAACTGTCACTAACTGTCTGATCCCAACGCCCACGCTTACGGCCACTTTCCTTCGGTAAATCCGAACTCGTTTTTACCAAAGATCCATCTTTTGATTTGTCAATAATTTTGCGGCGTAACTCATTTTCTTCTCCTTTTAGCATTTGCTCACGCATTATGTCCGTATAAGTTCTGGATCCTATATCGGGTGTTTTACCACCATCGGCAAATGGGTCAGCACGGTCAGGAGATATTATAGCTCTGCGACGTTTCTTATACTCTTCTTCTCTATCGGCTATGGTACCACGTCTACGATCTGCCAATGCATCCACATCCTCTTTTCCCTAAAGGAAATGAAAAAAAACATACATATGAATACGAAAAGAACTTGGGGGTGATTTCAACTCACTCGAACCGCATCCTTCAGTAGATATTTAGGTGCCGTATATGACGCTCGTTTTTGAGGTGCTGGAAAACCATCATCCTCGTCTTCATCAAGATCATCATTAGCTGCAATTGAAGTATTATAACCCTTATAGCGGTTCGATCCTTTGTCATTATCGTACAAGTCAGTATCATAGAAGTTGCCACTGTCCAACAAACCAACGCCCTCGTTTGCGTTCTTCTTGAGTTCACTTTTCTTTGATTGAATATCGGCTATTTGAGCCTCAATGTCTGCAATAACACATTATATATTAAGTAAAATGTGCAGAATATAATAGTACTTCATTTCTTAACATATATAAAAAAATTTAATTCTGCTTAGTACGTTTAGCAGTAATATATCTTATGTTACCTTCATGTGTACGAGCAATATTTTCCATTTTGTCTTACGAAAATTATTGTTAGAAAGATATATTTCCTTTCTGTAGCTGTTTAGAGCAAAATAATTCTATTGTCGAGCTTTGGTATTTGGGTACCCCTTGACGACATTTATAGTGTTGCCATATGCCCCTGTGAAATGCTTGATAAATGGCGGCTAACGTCACTATCTAGATTCCAACTAAGTTAGTGCAACGAGATGTATACTATTCATTTCAAGGATTACTCAGAAAATTCGACCGACATTTACTGCATTCATAGGTCTGCGCAAAGTACGTAAACCTTTCCTGTAATTACTGTCAGTTTCTTCATATAAGTTGAAAACAAGCATAATAAATTGTTGACCTAATTATTTGTTTATAGGCAGCGGTGTTTTTGTTTTTTAGGTTAAAAACTCCCAAATGAACACAATAAGTAACCGTGCTGTCATATTATCTTACGCGAAAATGTAAACGAAAACATATGGCTTTTGAATCAAAAATAAAGACACCAGCGTAAACGTCACAACAATTTTATAGCAAAATTATAGTAAGGAAGTCAATATTAAGTAAACAAATTTGTTTATTGATTAACGAAAAAGAAGATTGAGTAGATATATATATTGGACTTATTTTTATGTATTTATTTATCCATAATTAGAAAACTACCATTTACCACTCTAAAAAAACGTTTAAAAAATATATTTCAACTCTAAAGTAAGCGGTCTTTATTGCTTGTTTTCTATTCCTTTCCAAATAATGTATAGTACAACACAAATTGCCACTTACATAATAAAAAAAGAAAAATACCATTGGTAAATATAACGTAAATAATTTTTAAATTTTAAATAAACTACCCTTATTTCTTCTTGTCCGATGTTTCTCTTTCTTTTATTCGTATGTATATATGCGCAAACATATGATTTATTAATTCCTATAAAGTGTTGTAGTAAATCGGCAAATTGAAAGTCCCATCCCGAAAATCAGAATTACACTTCATTCTGCAAACCGTCCAAATGTACTACACAATTTTTGTACCAGTATTCCAGTATTCCTAAATCTGTCAGTGACCCTCTCGAAAAAAATGGTCTAATTTGTGTACCACTTTGGAAAACTGATATAAAATAAATTGAAAAGAAAAACAATATATCACAATCGTTTATTAAATGAAAATGTATCCGAGAATTTGTATATAAACATTTATATTTCATTATATTACACATAACTTAAATATTATATTATATTAATGCATTTGCGTGGCCGGGAAGGTAAAAGATCTCGACTAACAACTTAATGGTCACGGGTTCACATCTTAAATGTGATAGAATTTCCAATAAAGCTTATAGCCTTAGATGCTAATGTTTTAAAATCTTTATTATTAGAATTTAGTTTTCTGACTAAATTAATAATAAAATATTACTAAAATTTGTATGTCAATTTTATATATATATGCAATATTACGAGAGCAGTAGGAATGTTTCAATTCCACTGTTATATGACCAGAACTGCAGTTTTCATTTCACTGTTTTTTGTGATTTAGCATCTTTGTTCATTCCATTCGTACGAATATTTCGAACATTTCGTTCGACCGGCTTCATTTTATAGTTAGGTTATTCATGATTATTGCATTTACAATGTGGAAATATTTTTTATTAATATTTGTGCTTATACAATCAAATGTAGCAATTTTAGAAAATGAAGGCGATACATTGGTACTCCTTGATAATTTAGCTATTCGTGAAACACATTCAATATTTTTTAAATCTCTACAAGGTAAGTCGTTTGAAATGTGCTACGTGGACCAATATCTGATTAATAAAGATTTTTTAGAACGAGGATTTAAGCTTACCTTTAAATTGGCTGACGATGCTAGTTTGTTGTTGTCGCGCTATGAAGAATATCTCTTTAAGAATGTAATCGTGTTTGCTCCTAGTGTGGAGGAGTTCGGAGGGGAATTAAGTGTTGAAAAATTAGCTGAATTTGTGGACGATGGTGGTAACGTATTGGTGGCAGGCAGTGAAAAGTCAGGAGATGCCTTACGTGAATTCGCATCAGAGTGTGGTTTTGAAATGGATGAACTTGGTGCTGCTGTCATGGATCATTTACACTATGACATTGATGACACAGGTGACCATACAACAATCCTCACCGCTGCACGTAACCTTTTGGATGCACCCACCATCATGGGTGATAGCCGTAGGGATGAAAAGAGACCTTTATTGTATCGTGGTACTGGTTTGCTAGCAGATAAGGAAAATTCTTTGGTTTTGCAGTTATTGACAGCCGAGACTACAGCGTATAGTTACCATCCTGAGCAACCAATTGAAGATTATCCACATGCTGTGGGCCGCAATACTTTATTAATTACAGCCTTACAGGCCCGAAATAACGCACGGGTTGTTTTTTCGGGTTCTTTATACTTTTTCTCCGATGAAGCATTCACAAAAACTGTAGAATATGCTAAGACGGGTGTGTCATATAAGTTGGCGGGAAATGAAGAGACTGCCATCGCTATTAGTAAATGGGTCTTTGGTGAAAGTGGCCGTCTTCGCGTCGCTGAAGTGAAACATCATCGTGAAGGTGAAATGCAGCCACCAGATCAAGCATATACAATTACAAATCCAGTCGTCTATTCAATAAAAATTGAAGAGTTAATTCATGATAAGTGGTTCCCATTTAAAGCAAACGATGTTCAGCTCGAATTTGTTCGCATTGATCCCTTTGTACGAATAACTTTGAAGCAGGTTGAAGGAGAACGTTACGAAGCTAGATTTAAAATCCCAGATGTTTACGGGGTTTACCAGTTTAAAGTTAACTATGATCGCATTGGCTACACTCACTTATATAATATCACACAGGTATCAGTTCGACCTTTAGAACATACACAGTACGAAAGATTTATTCCGAGCGCTTTCCCTTACTATACCAGCGCTTTTTCAATGATGGTCGGTGTTTTCATTTTCTCATTTGTATTTTTACATTTCAAAGAAGAAACCGTCAGTTCAGGAGGATTTATAAAAAAAAGCGAAGACAAAAAGCTTCAATAGGATTGTATTGGTATTTTAGTTTAAAAATCTTAACAGGGCATTAGTACTGCTTTTAACTATGTGCTTGCTTATACCTGTAATAAAATGTGCTCCTATAATTTTATCTTGCTTTTTTATTAAAAATAGACGCATGTAGACGAAGTGGAAGATGTCCTTTATTATTTCTCTCTTGTTTATATTTATTTATTCTTTTAATTAATGATACCGCACATGGAAAGCCGGAAACTAAGAACTACAGACATATAAAATACAGATTCCTACTTATACGCATTATTATGCAGTAATACCGGAATTTTCTAGCCAATAAGATAAAAAGCAGCATAGACGTACATACAATTCAGGTAAATATTGGGGTTGTAGAAAAGTATAAAAGCATTGTTTCTTAGTAATAATTATAATTTGATCAGTAAGTCGGTGAACGCATGAAACATAAACAACCTGATTGATTGCATCTACTAACATGTGATGGAAATTTGTGCTTATATATATCGTGCTTACTTTGTGCATTTAAAAGCGATGTGGCCTCATTTTAAGAATAAAACATGCTCATAAATGTGTATATATAAGTTTATGTTTGCGTTCGTACAATTACAGATTAAAATATTTACGTAAATGTAATGATGATGATAAAGGAGGATAAGGATAACATTGAGAGGTTTAAGTATGGAAATGGACTTTAAATTGTTGCGAATGTGTAGGGAACTAGATCTCAATGATCTTAAGAACAACAACTTTTATATGCAGGAGCTTTTTCGTTGTTTCTACGATCAACTACGACACGTTCCGGATTTTCGGCTGACTCTCGCCCTGCAGTTTTATCCAGTATAGCCTCGGCTAATTCACAAAACGCCCGTTCAATATTTATATTTGATTTGGCTGAGGTCTCCATAAAACGTATACCGTGTTCTCTGGCGATCTGAACGGGAGACAACACGTGACAAAGCTGTGATAATTTCTTAAGCTACCTATACTTACTGCTTCCCCACGTTCTTTGCTCACAACCCGCTTATCGGCCATGTCACATTTATTGCCCAATATCATCTTCTCAACATCTTCGTTAGCATGCTAAGTGAAATTAGATTTGAAATAATACGAGATCAAACAGTTCTACTACCAACTTACTTCATCTATGTTCCGTAGCCATTTTACTATATTTTCGAAACTTTTTTCATTTGTAATATCATAGACTAGCATGATCCCCATGGCACCACGATAATATGATGTAGTGATTGTATGAAAACGCTCTTGACCTGCTGTATCCCAGATTTGCAATTTTATCTTCTTTCCCCTCAATTCAACGGTTTTGATTTTGAAGTCGATTCCTAAAAATGAAATAAAAATTTATTTTTACTTAGCATATATAAATGGTTGATTTAATTGTTCTTAAATGAGATTAGCATAGAAAAATTCAAATTACAATAAGAAAATTAAATTAATTGAAGGCTTCGTGATTTTCACAAAATGGAAAAATGAAATATTTTCACTTGCCATCTCTTAGAATTTTAACATTAATTAACACCATATTTTTTTTATATAATATGTACGTGTTTAATCGTGCGTGCGTACATATAAAAATGTATGAACATATAATTTGGATTAATTTTGTGCTAACATTTTTTACGCCGCTTAAGTGAAGCTTATTCACAATTTTGAAAATGGCTTTAGAAATATTTATGCATATAGATAAATGGCAAGCATGACTTTGTGTTTATATTATACATTTTCAAGTTATTAAAAAGGTGAACATTAAGTCCAAAGAGCAAAATTTAAAAAAAATCATAACTATTGTTACATTTTATTGAACTGTTTGCAAACAATTGAAACCAATGTATGCATGTGTATATATTAACACCACACCCTTATCGGGTGCCAGCGCATCCACTACTTGTCCACTTTTTTGATAAATACACATATTCGTTTTCCATCATCTTTAACTCACCAATAGTTGATATAAACGTGGACGTGAAAGCGTCATCCGAAAAACGAAATAATATGCAGGTTTTCCCAACACCGGAGTCTCCTATCAGCAACAGTTTAAAAAGAAGATCGTAAGTTTTCTTTGCCATTGTGGGCACTGGAAGTTAATTGGTAATTGTGCTTATTATTCTTAATTTAATTTGGTTTTGTTTTCATCAATTTCCGTGCACTCTCAATAATCGCATCACACACACATAAGTTATTTAAAAGTTTGACAAATTTTATTTTTCTTTATATATGTACACAGATCCACTTTATTCTCTAAAATTTTCTCATCAGTTTATTATTCAGAGTTCGGCTTTGCCAGATTCACGAAATTCCCTATAGTTTACATGTACGTTTTCTATCGAAAACCGTAGATTTGTATAAATTCTTTTACGCAATGGCAAAAAGTTATACATACTAGATGTTTTTCAAGTTTACTTGGATGAGTCAACCTTGTGGGGGTGCCATATTTTTCCTTGACGAAAAAGAAATAAATTATTTTCGCTTCATATGTAATTAATAAATATAATGGAAAATAATTTTACTCAAATTGTGCAAGTGAAAAATTTTAAATAAAATGAATGCATAAAAAAAAGTAATATAATAGCACGCATGCTTTGTATTTTAAGATAGCTCTTTTTAAAAGAGAAAATCTCTCGAATAGCACGCTAAGGTAATATTAGTGAAATGCAAAACTATTGTATAAACTTAATTTTGCAAATTACAGCATTCTTTGAAAAGTTATCTATATTAGATTAGCAATTAACTTTTAACGTAACATCGCATTTTGCGAATAGTTTGACTCGTTCCCTTTATGAGTAAAATGTGGCAACCATTAAAAGATTCTGACTAATTCGGAAACATCGATTTAGAAAAAACAAGAGCATAAAGTTGAAAAACGAAAATCTTAAGTTAGGAGAAATTGTTGACGAATAAAATAAAGATTGCATCTCAAATCGAGGCATATGTTCGAGATATATTTGCTTTTACATTTTTATAAATGAGTTTTTTTATTATTATCGTTTAATTTAGCATTTAAACGCAGGAACATTGACTCGCCAACTTTTTTGCCATCCCTTTTTAAAAAGAAGTGAAAAACTAAAAATATCTTTAAAATAAATTTGCCCTTAGTAAGGAAGTAAATACGAGATTACTGTTTCTTCGATATTAAATTAAAATTAAATGAAGTTATGAGAAAGTATATTATAATATATTATGTGTTGTCGTTGCAATTATATGAGTGGTCAGTGTGACGAAGAAAAGAACATATCGGACTAAAAAGAAGGTGAAGGTGTTTGTACTCTTCTCCTCTTACCACAACAGCTCCTATAATAAGCAAGACGAAATAACTGCTTAAAAAGAGGGGACTAAAAAACCTTTTTTTATAAAAAAATTGTACTAACCATAAGATTATCCTGAATAAAGACGCGTCGTTTACAATTCCATATAACCATACAAGTCGTTCAATAATAATCACCCAAATAAGGTAAATTTTCTGCTTATTAATGAGATTAGATAGCATGCGTTGTAAGGTAATCGCCAACACAACAAATACATATGTATATGTTTATACGTATGGATATACATGTACATACGTTAGAGCTAGAGGAATTTATATCAAACCGGATGAGATTTGTGCATATAAAAATATATATATACTATCTTATATATATGAGAGTTGTTATAAATGAGATGTTTTTAATTATGGGAATCTGCTTAAAAGAATGCATACTATCGCCGGTTGAATCCTATTTTTAATTAAAAGTTATGCATGATTTTATCTATTTTTCTTTACACTTAATTTAAAGCTTCAATACCTAGCTATTTAATATTCAAATGGATACTTCAAATGTAGGACGGCGACGAGTTAATTCTCGTATAAATGCTGAAGATCAGGCGTTAGATCAAATTGCCAAAGAGGTAAAGTTTTTTCTTGACGGGCATGCGCTAGTCAATTATATATTTAATAATTAATTGTTCTAATTCGAGGCGGAGGCCCGTTTGGCAGCACGAAGGCAGGCGAGAGCTGAGGCACGCGAAATACGTATGCGTGAGCTAGAGAGGCAACAAAAGGAACAAGAGCAGAATGCGGATCGTGTGTTTGATATGCATAATTCCTCGGGAATTGATACAATATCGCGTAATAGAATTAGTTTAGGATGTTCGCTCATCAGTGGTTTGCTTAACACAGCCCGTGGTAACTCAATGTCTTCTAGGCGCAGTAGCGAAGATTCATTAGAAGAAGAAGGGCGAAGCTTAAGAGATATACGTTACGAACTAAGGGTTTGTTTACTGAAGTAACAAAAAATATGTTACTGTTAGCAGTTTTTAAATTTAGGGAGTGGAGGAGAGGTTTCGTAAAGCTATGGTAGCCAATGCTCAACTGGATAATGAACGTACCTCACACACATACCAAATTCAATTGTTGAAAGACAAATTGGAAGAAATGGAGGAATCATATGCTCAATTGCAACGTGAATTTAGGGAAAAATCCCGAGACTGCAACGTGCTAAAGCGCACTATAGATAAATTAAGCGAAGATCTAAAATTGGTGCAAGGTCAGTTATGTGAGCGAGACACTTTAATTGCGGAGCAAGGCTTGGTTGTAGTTGCTATTGAAAACGAAGACGGCACCGATGCCAGGAGAGCACTAGTCAGTGTTGAAAATGCAGAATTGTTAGGTTCTGTACAAGGTTCATTAGGTAAGTAACGGTTATACCATTAGATATGTATTCTGGAAATTCATGCGGCAAGCAGTAGGAAGTAATGATATACGCGAAGCAAATAAATAAAAGCTTTAATTATACATTGGTGTCGTTGTGACGCTTTTGATCGTACAAATTCGTCAGTATTTTCTGGTTTAACTCATTAATAATGTCCGAATTTACATTAAAATTACAATCAGATTAATATTAGAGTTACAATCGAATGCTTATTGTCGTTGCTTTTGACTTAATCTAGATGTTCGGCTAAAAAAATTTAACGAAGAGAAGCAGCTGCTTCAGGCTGATTTGCAACTTCTCCAAGAAAAATTAGAGACGTTCAAAAGCTCGGGAAGAGGACGCGTTAATACAACTAATGGCCCATTTAGTTCTGAAGACGATTATGAAGCTCAAAGTAAGTTTAATTGATGTTTTTGCTGTCTTCTTGTTGCATTTTAAGCTTGATTCATTTTATTTTTAAGGGGAGACTAATAAAATCATATCTGATTACAAGTATAAATTACAAAAGGCCGAACAAGAAATTGCTAACCTGCAAGCTAGCTTAGCTCGATCAGAAAGCCAAGTTATTCGCTATAAGAGCACCGCAGAAGCTGCTGAAAAAGCAGAGGCTGAATTAAAAATAGAAAGAAGGAAACTGCAAAGAGAGGTAAAAATTAAAGAAAAGTTTGACCATTATCTTAATTGAATGTTGCGTAACTTTACGAATAATTTCGTTTGATCCCTTTTAAAGCAGGATTTACTGATAGCACACTATTGGGATGAATGTCATTGCCAGTAGAAATAGAAAAAGAGCTTGGAAGTAGTGTATTAAATTGACATCACGGTACCATACGCGAGTTAATACCTTAGATATTCTTTGATAATATATATAAGTTTGTTGATTCAGCCACTATCATTACTTAAAGTTTTGCTAACTTATTCGTAATATCCAAGTCCGCTATTTAATATGTGGAGATGAATTCTAACATACGTGTAAAAAGAGAAAATGTCTAAAACCAATTCAATTTTATGTACATTTGACATATATGCACTACATGAAGGGCATGCATTTATTGTTGTTCAAATTTAATTTTACTCTTTGTTGAAGCAAATGTGTAAATATCTAAATTAATTCTTAATTGTCTCTCATTAAACAGAATCGTGAAGCTATGGAAAAGTTGGAAGAATTGGAAACATCAAATAATCACTTATTGAAACGATTGGATAAATTAAAAAATGCGAAAAGCGCTCTCCTAAAAGATCTTTGACCGGTTTATGTAACAGAACAAAGTTCGACAGTAACTCAAATTACAACAGGAGGGCCTGTTTCATCAATACTGTCATCGCATTGTCAACACAGGTGTCAGTTGTTGACATCTGTAAAGCCGAGCCATCATGAAGAGCCAAAAAGCTTTGTCAGACTACAACAAACCAATGAAAGCAACGGCAGTAACGTTTCTTAAAATATAGGGCAAAAATCACTTAGCTGTTGTAAATATTTTTACATCACGAAGTCGTAAATACTAACTTCTGCTGCAAACATATGCGTAATATAGTACATTGAAATATTTCGTCAGTCTTACTACAGACATATATAAAAATTATAATTAAAAATAAGAAAAACGATATAGTTAGTACCGATTGTAGAAAATTATTCTTCTTTTGTTTTTATTTTTTCCTTTGTTATTATTTTAATAGTTTAAATATTAACAATTATTGAAGATTTGTATAAACATATGCAATTTTGTACGTGCTTGTACTTGTATAGGTTATTTAGAATTCTTATATATGTAATCTATCTATAGATTTTTTATTTAAATACATTTTATGTGTTAACGCGCCCGAATATCGAAAAAACGATAGTATTTGTGCTTAGGTATATCGTTAGGTACAGATTGCACTATAGTTTCCACTGAAGTAAGTGTCGTCTCTGCGAGATGCTTTTTATATTATGGCACGAATTATGTTATGTATTTTCACATGCCGTTAAATTTTCAAAAGCAGTTATGCTTTTGCTATATGCTTAAACATTTATAAGCAAAAAATATTGTGGCAATTTCCTAGAGAATTTGGGTAAAACAGGAAAAGCATGCCATTTATATGCACTTGTAAGAAAATGATCCCCTCCTTAATACAAACCAGAGAGTTTTGCAGGATCTAAATTAATTATAATGCATTTCTAATATCTTTGAATTTTGCCGTAAGCATGAATAAGAATAACCGCTTCCTTCATACTGTACATAAAGTTCGTTAAATGATCGAATTTAAAAAAATAGAGAAAGTAATGCAATTCTTTAAATTTAGTAAAGATGGACCACTTTATTCACTTTAGTCTTACGTTGGTAACAGTAAACTTCTCCTATTTAGCTTCTTGCGCATACGAACTGTTCTTTTGCACACAAGATAATATTGGGCTTTCATTTCGCAAAAGCTTATTGCACCGTATTTTCTAGAATATAAGTGACGTATCTGTCGAAATATATTCAGATTATAATTTCAACGCCAACTCGTGCTCCATAAACTGTATGGGGCAAGGAAAAGATTACGAAGTAGAATTTTCCATCAAGAAATAATTTTAGTTGCAGATCGACTGCAAAATATATGATCTACTACGATCATATTACTAAATTAAGTCTTAGGCAACGAACCATCGCTATCCTTTTGTCCCATGTATAATTCTCCATGGTTCTGAGTTTTATAATCGATTTAGATGGAATACGATCTTTCAACACTTCATCGACGTTAATGAATATTTAGTTTTAGGGTACGCTAGCATGGTATTCTAATTTATTCGATTTTCTCGTTATTCTTACTAAATACTAAAGTACGATCCAGATGCATTACATCAAATAATTGACAAACAATTAAAACTACGGTATTATACAAAATTTGCATATGATATGAGGTAGAAAATCATAAGCTTTGCCTCTACAATCCCTGAAATAGCTGCTGAAACTACTCAGAACTTAATTTCTTTGCAACGACAATATATTGCGTATTGATATCTTGACGCATGGATTAATTAAATTGTTATTATTTTTACTATTATTTATTGGTTACAAAGCGAATTTCAACCGCTATAAGTATCATATAGTCAAACATTATTGACATCATAAATTTATCCTTAAACGTAAAAATTAGAAAAACATTACAAATGAAAGCACCCGGGCTTGGGCTAATTTCTAACTTGGCCGAAAAAGATCTTACATTACAGTATGTTCTAGTGTTTGGTAATCTCAAACTTTATGGTAGAGGTACTCATGCCAAAGTGTATCAAGTTGTAGTTCTCATTGTATTCTTTACATAATCGACGGATAGGGTCATTGTTACCATAGTTTGTTCTGTAGCAATCAAAATTGCTTAGACACTCACTATGGAATATTTAGTTATATTTTAAATAATAAATACTCAAAACCAGATATGCCAGTCAGCAGCTCGTGAACAAACGATATGATGGAAGGCGGATGTTAGGGTTCCAGGACAAACATCGTAAGCAAAACAAAAAAAATTGGTTTTGTACGGACTCAATCTATTTATGGTAAAGATCATGTTGTAGATCCCATATAATCGAACAGTCTTCCAGAATAGGCTTCACTAGCGATATAGACAGCAACCAAGTAGTGTAAGAATTACGAAACATATTGGCCTAACGCGAGATGAAGCCCAATGTGCTTCTTGCTTTATTAACGGTTATATTAATGTGTGCATTGAAAAACAATTTATTGTCAAACAGCACTCCAAGACCAGTAATAGGATCTGGTTTATAAAGTTGCACGTTATTGATAAAACGGCTTATTTAAAGTTGAAATATGTTCGTCAAATTGTTTTATTATAGAGTAATAAATCGTAATTTTCATATTATGGAGCAATTAAAACAAAAACGAATTTTTTATGGTGTCATAAAACTTAAGTAGATTATAACATAATAATTTCTCGAGATCAGGTTAGTGAATAAAATTCAAAATTAAAAATGCCGTCAAAAAAATCCTTGAATTCCTAAGTGGGCTGATACAGTGAGGTGCGATTTTCGTTTTCGGGTTAAAAACTCGCAAGTGGTAACCGCTGCAATATTGTTTTACAAGAAAATGTAAACAAAACATATGATTTTAGGAACAGCGGATAAGCATGCGATAAGGAAGTTCTGGATCATCGTTAAGAGAATCGAATCATGTTAGCTTATTTGCTGGCGATTATCCCCAAATGCGCTCTCTCAGTCAAGTCAAATCTGCTGACAATGAAATTACCGTCGCTGAGAACAAATTTGCGTTAGAAAATTTGAGAGGAACTATTGGAAAGCTGGCGACGATGGCACGTGATTAGCAATAATCAATAGTCTCTTTAAAAAAAATTCAGATGATAATCGCCTGGTAAATGATCAGCCCACAGTAATAACGAAATCGTTTTTTTTGGATGTTTAGTTAAGGCAGACGAAGCCATTAAGTTTGTGGGTTATATGTACATTAATAAAGTAGTCAACGTAAACATAAACGGCGAATTTATGTTCTTAGCGTTGAATATTATTCGTCGGGCTGAAGTTTTGTAATTCAAGAGATTATATTACTAATCTTCATAATCTGTTTAATGTTTATAACATCAACGAGAACGAGTTGTGTACCAATTGATCCAAAACTCGGAAAATATCATTTATTAGTCTCAAATAAGAGAATTTGATGAATATATTTCAAATTTAAAATAAATCGTCTTCATTGCTTGATTTTCATTTTTTACAAAATAATGTATGGTATACATCAAAATTCCAAATCACATAATATACAAAGAAAGAGTACATTAGCGTAAGATAAACATAAATTAGATAAACAACTTTAAAATTTAAAAGAAACGATCATTATTTCTTTTTGTGGCATTTTTTTTTGCTTTATTTGTATGCATAATGCAAAACCATATGGTTTGCCAATTCTCGTAAAATTTTGTAAAAAGTCAGCCAAGTTGAAGTCCCAACTAGAAAATAGGAATAACGCCTCATTGTGTCAGCCCGCTATCAGTTATTATATTCTCAAAAAACTTGGGAAAGGAGCTTAGAATACCGATACCCCGATAATTAGAAATATCTGTTTCACGAGCATTCTCGAAAAGCGGAATAATAAATGATTTTTTGTACTTTAATGGAAAGTAACCAGAAGCAATAGACAGATTATGTCAATGGTGCGTATAAATGTGATAGTTTCTCAGCACAAAACTCGGTACGCCACCAGGGCCAGACTTAAGTTTGTTATGCGACGTGTGACCGTAAACCATATGAAAGTGAAGTAAATCCGAGGCTATATTGCCATTGTACGAAAATCTGGTTTTCACATCTGGGTTTATGTTGGTGACATGGTTACAAACGTAAACCGATTGAAAAAGTCGGCAAATTTGCAATTTCACTATCCTCTGTAGATCCAACGTTATTGAACTTCATGGTCGAAGGATAACCATTAACCTTTTTTATTAACGAATTCATAGAGAGAAGGGTTACAATCTTTTCTTAAATTATTCTTCACCACTTGCAAGTAACTGTGCAACAGCACAGTTTATTCTGGACATCCCACTCCCTGCGTGCAATCAAAAATTTTACATAGTCAACAGTCAACTTCGAGCGTCTGTAGCGGTTATAACTCTTTTTTTTCCATTTTTGAAGGACTTTGACTTTCTGCTACATCATGGCGGACTAAACTTGTTACTATGGTATGCTCTAGGCACGGTAATAGAAAAATAATAATTGAGTATATCAATCAATCACTCTATCGAGATCACATGCAGAATTTTGGCGAGTTATTTCAGGAACACAATACCAGTTTTCCATGGGTAGCAGATAATCTAATTCCTCGTAATCGGTGCACGTAAAATTCAATTGAAGGGATACGCCCCGTATATTTCTTACGAACTTAACATGAATCGAAATCGATTGAGGGGTGGTATTTATCCTCATGCAGGACGACAGCATCACCCCGTTGCAATATACACGTGTAAGCACCATTAATCAAGACAAAATTTGCATTCTACTTTAATTTTACACAGAGTCAATTTCGACACATGGTTTAGTATATCAATTCACTAACTAACATTTGTCACAAGTAGTAGTGATTTTCCAAGGCCGCCAAATTGAAATTCCCGAAGACGAGAACAAAGTGTTCCGGCTTGGTAGGTGCCATTCATAAATGATTGAGGATGAGCAGAGCGTCATATAAGGGCAATACGAGATTAAATCTTCATTTCCGTAAGGATAGAACAAACGTTGACTGATATTGCTATTAAAATTCCTCCATTATTTTTGTTAATGCATTCTATATGGATTGTACTTAGGACATTTATTTACGTAATCAGAAATAGAAAAGTTTAATTACGTTTCCGCAAACAACAGGACATCATCGTCCACAAGAACAAATAAAAACAATTCATATTAAATTTAGAAAATATTTATGCTATATATGTTTACCTTACACTAGTGTACATCTTTTTTTATGTGATTTACATTTTGGATTTATACTATACATTATATTTAAAAGAAATGGAAAACAAGCAATAAAGACCGTTTTTTTCATTAAATTATTTTTTAGAGAGCGATAAATGGTAGTCTTCAAATTTTCGATAAATGAATACATAAAAATAAGTCTAATATTTAAAAAATTATGTTTTTCGCTAATCAATTATCAAGTTTTATTTTTATATTACTTTTCTCATTGTCATTTTTTTTTTTTTTTTTTTGTATGTTGAACAGAAGTGGACTAAGCCAATAGATTTGTGGCTTATATATCCAAATAATAAACTGTTGTAATTTTTAGTCACGATTATGTATAAACCGTAACAAAAAAATAAGAGCGGCCATAATAACTGGAGTGAGCATGTTACATGTAATATTGTCATTTTTTTATAAATATGTGTTTTATGTTTATGTGTTGATCTCTTCGGTTTTGGCTAATACCGTATGTTGTTGTTTAAATTTTTCTGTAAAACCATATGGTAACGCAGCTGTCTATTGTGTGTTCCACTTGGGAGCTTTTAACCCGAAAAATAAAGTTACGCCTCACTGAGCCAGCGCCCTTATAAACATAATTGAATTTGCAAAACAACGCTATGGCAATATTTTAATCAAAGTAGTAACTTTCGATAACACTGGTCGTTTGTTGCCTGTAGAAAATATTGTTTTTGCAATGAGTAGAGTATTGAGAAGAATAATTTACGGAAGTGTAGTCGACAAAACATTACTCTGTGTTATTTTAAAACGATACGAACAGTTGGGATAGTATTTTGTTGAAAAATTAAATACTAATTTGAAGCAATTAACGATAAGTATAAGGTGTGATTTTTGATAGAATATCGCAATAGTCCTATGCACAGATCTTGAAAAGTTTTGATTACAACGATTGGAGTTTTAATGCAATAAAGATAGCTATACCCTTAATATGGGTTCAGTAGAGAATAAACCTCCAATATTACATATTGTAGTAATAGGATTTCATCATAAATTCGGGTGCCAGGTATGGAAAATTTTTATGATCAACTTATAGTTTTAAGAACAGTGAAAATTACTCTAGGTGGAATTTTCTTTTCCACCCCTGGTGTCCGGCTCAGATGGAAAAAATCAATGTCCATCTGGTTGGAAATATTTATCAACTTTAGCTTTGCCTGATGGTTCGCACAACTTTGTAGAGGACACAGTTTTCTTCAATTTACCTAGCTTAAGCGAGCCCACGGAGAGCGTTTATGGTGTTTCCTGTTACCGTCAAATACCGGTCGAAAGATTGAAACTGCGCACAGCTGATATGACTCGAAGCACTGTTCAAAAGTCAGTCTGCTGTTTGGCTCGCCAGCCTATCTATGGATACATTGAAGTAAAATTATCTCTTATTGCTGATGCTTTTTTTCAGCAAGGCGACTTTTCGAATACAGAGCTTTTACAACGAGCTTACCAGCAACTAAACGCTTGCCTCATGGATGATGAAATACATCGTCCACAACGGCATTTTTATTTGGGTTTATCGTTGCGGGCGATTGTCTTACATTGGCGCCATAAAATGCTCCAGTTATTTAAGCTTTTGTTACTTCAACGTCGTGTCATCTATTTCGGTTCTCCTGTACGTAACATGTGTGCTCTTATTCTTGGTATGGCTTCGCTGGTGCCACGCCTTTTGGAAAAGGGATTCCAAGAAGTAGCTTGCGTCCGTACTTCACGTCCGATATCGCCGATGCCAGATTATACAGAGACTATCAAACAGTTCGGGGAAATCGAAAAAATACGATCGTCCGTGTATATGGATGCGGTCGATAAATGCGCTGATGATACTCAAAATTACATTCAGTCCATAAGATTGGAGGGCGGTTGTGAGATTTCATCAGTAACGCACAGTCAGTGTAACAGCGATCAAAATTCCTTGACTCAATCTCAAAGATGTTCGAGTTTATCGGGTTCTAAGGACAGCAATATACTTGAGACTAAACGTTGCGACCGCAACAACTCTCTCACAAGAGAGGGTAGTGTAGATGCATTATCGAGTAAGTAACTTGCAAACTGTATTAAAAGTTCGATTTTCTAAGTTACTATGATTATTGGTTTCAGCGACCCTTTCAGTGTTGGCATCCATAAATCCTGATGAATATAGGGCTCCGATTTCAATTTTTGCAAGTGGAAATTTGTGCCTGCCTTATCTTTCTTTGCCGTATATGGACCTATTGACTGATCGTTCTGTACTAAGTTATGTGGTTGGAACTTCAAATGTGCTTTTCCAGCAAAAACGGCATTTATCCGATGTGTTAGTAGATATTGAAAATGGCAATTTCGATACTCATGATGCTGAGTTAAGACGGCAATTGATATTAAGTACAGAAGACTTACGTTTTATGGACTATCTGTTGCGACATGTTCAGTCCCCTAAGGAAGACGCTGAAGGTAGTGAATATTGGATAAGGGAACAATTTCAAGGATATGTTTTGGCTTTGCTCAGGACAGCTGTAATTTCTGATGGAAGTACTAAAGATTTCGATCATTTCAATGCCAATTTTATGCATGCTCTGAAGAAAACCCAATGTTTTCAGGAATGGTACGATGTCAGACCGGAGATTGACTTCTTCGAAGCATTGCCAGCTGGTCATCCTTTTGCTGGTACACTTTCAGTTGCTGATATGAAATTGAAAATTGCACAGTAAGTGTAAATAACTATAGAAGGTATATCAACTGCTTACGTTATAAACTTTAAGGACTATGCAGAACAGTGAAAGTGGACGAAAAATAAACCAGGCTGTAAATTCTACTAGCCGAGTTGTAGGTCAGTCAATGATAGTCCCAAAAGCTTAAATTATGAAACCAATTACTTTTATTGCCTTGTCGGTTTTTTTTATTGTACAGGTGGGGCAATTTCCCAAGCGAAGGGGGCATTTTCTAATTGGTGGTCTTCGATAACTATACCTTCAGCACAGCTTACCTCATCACCTGTCATTTCCAGTAATTGCGGTGATACCACCGGTAAACAAAATCCTTCAGATGATATAAAGCAACTTGAAGAAATATCTGTAACTTTCCAAAATAAATCCACAGAAGAAATTACGGTTGGCAATAATGTGCATTCGGATGACAAGCCAGTTGAATGCTCGCAACACTTTCAAGAAAACAGCGAAACAATTACAGTAGCAACACAAGCTGTTGATTCTAATACGCAACCCGAAGGAGTAGTAGAAATTGGAAAAGAGGCAGAAATTCTCAATAAGAATGAAGAAACATCTGACTCATTTAGTGCAGATAATTTCGCTTTGCCATCAGATAACGCAAGCAGTAGCATGTTTACAGTGTAATGTAGCTATTAACTTATATGTTACCAGTCACTTTCATCTCATTCAAGTGCAATACAATAATTATTTGGAGGTAACATTCATAATACCAAAACATCTATCACGTGTTGATATAATTCAAATGAAATCAAAACGAAATATACGCATGAATATTGGCATAAATGGAGATACATTTTATTGCTGCCACACTTGTTCCCCTTGCAATTTTTTTTGCAGGAAAGTATTGTAAACCTTCAGAAGGTTCCTCTTGTGTGCTACATGCTCTTATTGGTCTACGTTTTCGGTCTATAAGCGTTGGAGTAAAATCTCATTAGCCTTTAAGTGTTTTTCAGTCTCCTTTATTTGCTTGTGCAGGTCGAATGATTTATTGAGCAATTACTCAGACTTTGGTTTAAGACACAATTCTACTTTCCGAATTTCCTCACTTAAAGTTTGTAAATTGTCTTGACTACTGGCGTGAGATTCACATGATATATATTTATCTGTTCGAATCCCAAGTGCGGTAGAGTTTTTAATAGAGGCCGATAGCCTTAGATGCTAGTGCTTTTAAGAGTTTAGTCTTAGAATTTATTTCTCTGGCGAAATTAATAATAATAATAATAATATTTATCTACTTTCATTTCCTGCGCGTATGCTAATTAAATAGTTAAGACGATGTCGCAAATGCTATATAATGTGCGTTTTTTGCTATATAATATTCACAATTTGATATTTAAGGTGATAAGGAGAAGAATGCAAATTTTTGGTGTCTTGTCCTGCGACGTGCAATGATACTTAGAATATTTGGTTGTCGTTTTTTAATCTTAACGTTTAGGTAACGCAATGTCGCGGACATGGAAATTAAAAGACTCCATTTGGTCCTTAATTCGTTTTAGGTCCTTGTAACAAGACACTTGTTGACTATGATCATGAACGTGGAAGTTAAAGACAGTGCGCTCAGCAATGTCTGTCTTTCTTCAATTAGTCAACTTGTGTTAAAAGCTCGTTGCGTTAGTCCACTATTGCTTTCTCATTTGCTCCCGTAATCGAACCCTGCTCTTTCCGAACTAAATCCGCCAATAATTTTGCTTTTTGAAGCTGCAATTTTTTAAATTTCTAATTGCACCTGTCGGTTTGTTCAATCGTAAATTTTAAGCGGTAAAGTTTTATCTTCATCTATTAGCGTTATGTTAGTGTTTACCATCCCTTCATTGGTTTCCGATGTCTCTTTTGGTAAATGTGGTAATTCCTTGAATAAGTTGTGATATTCGTTTTTGACAGCCTTAATGACTTTTACGCCTTGTAGTTCCTGGTTAAGTAAATTGCGTGCTTGCCGCTTTAGCTTTTTAAAATAAAATTGCAATAATTTATCTCATAACTTAAAAGCTCCTTTGGAATATCGTACTATATCTTCTTAAGACTGTAAAACAACTATTTGTGGGCATTTGTTTGTTGAATGATCTCCGTCTTGTGGTTGTTGTAAATTGAATAATTGTTGGGCGTAACTCCCATCGGGCGACATACTTTTTGTATGCTGAGTTTAAGCGATCAATAAGAAATGTAGCTCATATGCCCAGATTATAGATAGTCTACTAACTCGGTGATTATTCGTAGTATACATATTTTTCTATATTAAAAAAACAGGCCAAGATGTTAAGGAGTAAATATTGATGTAAGATTAAAGTATGGCTAAAACACGATTAATTCAAAGATAAACTAAGCGGGCAAGAAAGTTAAATAAAGGTTAAAGAAAGGAAATAATAAAAATTTATCGCAAGTTAAAAAAGACAGATTTGATCTTTTAATAAAACAACTTACGCAAAAACATTTTTTGCTTTAATGAGATCAAAGAGGCCGCCATGTAATCTGAAAAGACTGAAGATCGTCTTTTATTACGAAATTTGTGACTTTTGAAAATGAGACGTTCAGTAGATTCTCTAGACTTCGCAAATATCATTTGGCACGGCGCGAGTTATTTCTAAATACACTTTATAATACGTGGGAAGGGTGAGTTTTTGGCTTACCTATAGTTTCATTACGAGTATATTTGATGAACCACCATTGCACCATCAATTTGAGCTCTTCACGCATAAAAGTCGGCTTTTTCATTTAAAAAGAAGTCATAGTGACCTAGTGCCTATATCATGTTGTAGTCATCAATTTGCTGTGTGAAAAAATGACGAAATATTCTCTATTCTCACTATTTGTTATCTATACAGCAGTTATCTATACAGCATTTCTGATGGCAACCAATTTATTATAAGTGGAGGAAACTTCTTCCAACACTCTTTATATATTGCTTCGGATGCATGCTCCACAACTGACTAAGTTTTTCTAGACATAAAACAATCACAAAAGAACGTTTGACATTTCGCTTAGTCGTAGTTATCGTTTCGAGAATCTTCATGAAGACTTTACATATATTGTTAACAAAATTCCAGGAAGGGATTGAGTTTTAATAATAAAATGTGTAGATATATATATATATATATATATCTTCATCATCAAAAGATACAATCTTCTGGAAAAAGGAAGGATTCATTACGTATGCCTTTATGTTTCTCTCTATATAATGAGTTATATGAAAATTCTCCTTCCTTTTTGTAGCCTCCGCTTTTCAAATGATTCCAAGCTGTCGTGTGGTTGATGTTTACTGCCTCCTCTATTCCTGACAGCTTATGTACCGGCCTTGCTTCACTAGTTGTAAAAGTTCACCGACTTTTCAGTAATTGTGAGGTGTACTTTTGGCATCGAAATTTCCGGAACGGAATCGGCAAACCACCATTTGGTCGTTCGTCCACTCAGCATTATCACTTCACAAATTTTTCGGCATGTTCTTGCATGTTTTATAGTAAGAAAGCATTACATACCGTTTTTCTTCAGATATTTCATCAATTTTCAAATCAATATAATTTTTTACCCGACCAAAGGATTAGAAATCTATCTTCACAAAAAATGTAAACTAAAATATCACCTTTTAAGCACATGTTCGTTTAAGACAATCAGATGAGTGTTACCCATTGTACAGGCATTAACACAATCCTGCGGAAAAAAAACGCAAGGGCTTTTTATATGACCTAATATTTTAATAAATTGCACGATCTTATATGTGCAACTTCGGTCTTAGACCGGACGAATGCTCTATACACTGGCTCTTTTCGAAGGCAAATCTGAATGATTGTTCGTCATAAGATTAAGGAGGATATATCTAGACTGATTGCCTTTGAAGGCTCTTTTACAATGTCCTCAAAAGATTGTTTAATATTCTGCGCGGAAATCCAAGAGATTTCGCTTGGTTGACTTAAATTTCTTAATAAAGAGATGAATATTTCTTTTGGCGACTTCAGCAAAATAAATTGTCTGTCTGCGTCATGGGGGTTAAAATATGAATAAATTAAGATCGGTGTATGCTTAAAAAAAGGTTTACTTCTACCGAGAGATTATTCGCAGCATTTGGAGAGGAAGCGTCCGTCAACACAAATAGAGAATGAGCAGCGAATTAAAAGATATGAGTTTCATTATCTTAAAGGTTACGCAAGCGTACACAAATTGAGCGGGATGAGGCTTAAAAAACTGCTTTGGGGAACAATACCGCTCATCTCAATTATGTTAGCTTTGCATTGAACTTTGTTTGTATTTCAGATAAAAAATTTAAAGCCCACAAACATATTTGAAGAGGAACTAAAAAATGTAAAGGAATCCATTAAATTAACCCAGTCATAGGCTGTGCTGACATCCAGGGAGATCATGACAACATTCCTGCCTACTTTTTTTTTGACTAAAAAACAGTTGATTGCTAGCCATATTCGTAGACTTGTTTTTTTGACAAGCACAAGAACGACCTGAAATTATAAGGTCGTTGTTTAAGAAATTCATCTGCCTATCCTTAGCCATTTAGTTAATTATTTTTACGATTACTTGAATTAGTAGAGGTACCTGTTTCAGGAATGGGCACACCACAATTCAAAGCGGTTAGTTTGGTTAGATCAGCAATGATTAATATGTGTCAATCCACGTAAGGAGAAGAGTGCATTATTCGATTTTGATTGCCACTTGGAATCTTGTAGGAACCTTTCATTATCATGGTCATTCTATGTAATACAATTGTTTCTTTTGCGATTTATCTACCGATGGTTATTGATACATTTTCAGAAAGAACGGCAACCGCTATTGGCACACATCTCTTTAATTGTGACAGTTTTTTGTATCTTTTCGGCGTTCTTAACTGTGGACCTCTATTTCTTTATTGTTTCATGAAGTTGACAGGATTCGCAAATATGCAAATTTTTGCCCTTGCGGATTGATATTTATGAGACAGTGCTGATAGAGATGGGTTTCATCATAGTTTTGGTGAGAAAATGTGGAGGTGTGTGACTTTGATTTGAGATTAAAAAGTGCTCTGAATTAATGGTACATCGGATATTAGTTCAACTTTAGCCAGGCGTTTCATTAAAAGTGCGCGTTAGATGAAATTTACTATTTTTTATGTAGAATTATTGTAACTTTGAAAAAAGATGAAGGAGTAGTGGATTTCACCAATCGAAATATTGATACTATTCAATGAAAGGACAACAGATTGAATTGGCGAAATTAGAATCAAGACACTATTCGTAGTACTACCATTCCAATTGCAATACAAACTAAGCTTTCCATTGTTTAGAGGTTTAAAGCTGCTAACGCTATTAGTATTTATAAGGCTTTGCCTTAATGATTTGAGAAATGGTCATCATACGGGTAATACCTAGAATTGAAATCTCTGATTAAAAGCAAGAAAGTCATATAATCTCTGAGTTCGATCACGAAAGGTTTTCATGTCAATACTTAGTGGAAAGTAGCGTGATACAATAAAAATATTTTGTTTTATACTAAGATTTTTGATGATAATTAGATCAATATCCCCATTACAAGGAAGGTTGACATATAGCTGGCCGTTTTAACATTGAAAACACTGTCATTTGCTAAAAAACTTCACTTCAACTGAAGAAATCAATATTATTTGAGTTCAAATATTGAAAATATAAATTAAAGTACATTAAAAATGGAAAAATATTGAAAATATAAATTAAAGTACATTAAAACAGTAAAATATTGAAGAATGGGTGAAAGTACACAAAAGCAGCAAATTATTGGAAAATAGTATTACATTAACAGTAAGCAAAATACTTCTTGTC